AGAAAACTTTTCTTCAAATAAAATAGCGTTGTATTAAAATTTATAAAACGATTTATTTTCTATATGCATTCTTGTTGGTCGAATCCTTAAACATGAACTAAAAATTTGAATCGTTTCGTGCAAAATCAATAAAATTGTCAACTTTTAGTCAACTGAAAATTTAGAACAGTTTCATTTTACTTGAACTTAATTTTCTTCACGTTGGCAAATGGAAAGTAACCCGCCATTGGCTTTATTTTGAATGATAGCTAGGATATGGGTGTGAATGTTCATGTTTCTACAGTCAGACTACATTCATCCACATTCACATCCACACCCTCGCACATTAATTTTTAAAGCTTTCATTGTCTTTTGCAAGTGGCTCTGCAGAATTATAATTATAATGTTCAATTGATTTTACTACTCTATTGTGTTTGCCAGTTGTTACTCAGTTCTCGAACTTGAATAACTTTTTTTTTTATTGTAGTATGCTTCTTTTTCTTAAAAATGTCAACAAATATTTTGTTCCTTCTGATTGTATTATGTATTTGTAACAATATTTGTTATGCACCATCATTTGAATCATTAATTTCATTACCTATGAAACTTATTGTAAATCTACTTCATTAGATTACCAAAATAAAATTCTGAAGAGCGATCATCCACTATGTTTGGTAAACACTATCGAATGGTTTATGAACATATATCAATATTGACAGTTGTATTTCTTCAACTGAAATTCAACAAAACGCTTAGCAATATTAATGGTGAAGACGATCTTTAACTTACAGAACCAAGAACGAACTTGAGATAGTTCTCTAAAATATTCATTTGTGTAGAATTGTATTTGTTGAATCATTCGACAATTGAACGAACTAGTGAATACACTTTTTGAACTCTTTTAGAATTAATAGGATATCCTAAACAACATTCTTCAGCTTACGAATCGTGGTGAAACCACGAGAAGAGACTGAGCTTCTTGCCGAAGTTTCGAGTCCCTACACTCTCGATCGAATCCTAGTTAGTATATCAATATTGGTTGAACGGCAACAACTGTCCTGTGCGGATATCAATCGACAACAGTACTTGATAGTTCTTAGATGGAGGAGAACGAAACATAGTAGGACAATCCTATTTACAGAAGCTTTCGCGTAAATAATAAATCAAAAGGCACCTTCTTAGGAGTTTATTTAGATACTACTTTCTTTGATGCGCCAAAATTTTTTTTACTTCATGAACTGATTTGTTCAACAGTTTTCAAGCTTTCAGGTCAGATCTCTTAGTCAATTGTCCATATTTGACTCTGAACCCTTAATTATGTTATAAAATTACTATCTTCAATGGTGAAGTTATTTTCATTCTATTATTAATATTCTAATTTTTATTAGTGAAACATTTTGAAACTACTTCCAAAAATGATCAGTTTTAGCAGCAAAAATCTGCAAAAGTTTCAATTGAATATGTAACACAGAATGCTTTACTCGAAATATTCTCAACGAATTCAATAATTGTTAAGAGTTCCTAGATCTATTTCTCTTCTGCACAAATTTTTCTCAGATGTTTTGCCATCGTTTCCCTCCATTAATAAGTAATTGATTAAACTTTCAACCGTTTTGAATGTAGAAATTCGGTTTCTACCCTCGTAATCCTTTGAAAACAAAAGTTGATATATATTTATATAGAAAGATCTAATCTCAATAAATCAAAACACATGATAGATATGAATAGATGTTTTCTCATAAACTATGCAATACTTTTATTATGTAAAAACAAGGAATAATGTATTATTGCTATAAGTTTTTGTTGACAGAAAAAAAAAATCATTCAAAAATAAATTAAGAAAAATTGTACAACAATTTTTTTTTTTTTATCAAAGTTCTTTATTCTGTTTTTGTTCAAATAAATGATAAGTATTGAGTTGATGTCGAAATTGATCTAATTGTTCTTGATATTCAAATATATGTGTATGAAATGGTGAGCCATATACATGTTCACCACTCCATTTAACAGATATAATATAATGTCCAGATTCAATTGGATTATATCGACATAGAATTGTACGATCTTGTAAATGTTCACGTTGCATTTCAACACGTAAAGCACCTTTAGGACCACGAATTTTAACAGTTAATTGTCCAGCACCTTTTGTTTTTTGTTTTGTTTTTATATTTTGAATAAAATTCAAAAATTTTAAATTTTAAAAGAAAAAATTTACCTGCTCCTTTTGTTTCACAAAGAAAATATGATTGAAATGTTGATAAAATACCATTTTCAATACCAGGACCAGAAACATGTACTTTATCTAAACATAAAAAAAACGAGCGTTCTTTTGTTTTCATTCTCTTAGATATTGAATAATATACATACGAATATCTGTTGAATTGTTTACTTTAACTATATATGGACTACCTGGAACATTTTCACCATTATATTTAATAGTTAATATATGTCTTCCGATTTCTTCGGGTTTAATAAATAATGTATATGTACCATCACGATGATCAAAAAGTCTACAAGATGCTTTTTTATTCATTCCTTGACAATAAACTGTTAATTCTCCTGGTATAGTAGCACGTGTATCAATTAAACATTTCATTACTTTTCCTACTATTCCTATACGTAAACCATCACCTGAACAAATAATTCGTGATGATTCATGATGATTATTATTAATATTTGGTAAAATATTAACTCTAAATGGTGATCCATGTATTTCTTTTTCTGCCCATATTATACTCAATAAATAATCACCTAAAAAAATATGATATATAAGTTTGTTTGTTTGTTTTTTTTCAATAATTCTATTGTATTATACCTGGTATAATTGGTTTATAAGAACAATGAAAAATATTTTTATTTTTTTCATTTTGATGAATTCGAACTTCAACATCAGTTTGTGTACCAATTAATCGTACAATTGGTTTATTTATATTAGAATTTGAAGCTTGTGAAGTATCAATAATAAATTCTGTTTCTTCATTAATACGTGCTTCATATGAACCACGACCATGTACTTTTACTTTTACAAAATCTAATGATATAGAAGTTGATATAATTCGAATAGGCATATTTAATAATGAATTATTAGCATATGTAATTGTTAAATCATATTTTCCATCTCGTAAAATAGTAAAACTTAGAATAGCTAATGAATCTTGTTGATCAATACGTAATGGTATAAATGTATTATCAACACCTCGAATATTTGCTTTTAAAATACCTAAACAAAAACAAAAAAAAAATTGATGTTCTCGTTCATAGGAGAAAAAGAAGAAAAGATTTCACCTGGTCCAGCATGAGATGTATCAAAATAAATTTTCTTTTCCTCATTAGTAATAGTACGCATACGATTTTGTGAATCAAGTATTGATTGCCAACCACCAATAATTCGAATATGTTCTTAATATATATATATATATATAGTAAAACCTCTCATAGTGGACACTTAACGGTCCGACGGAACGATTTATACTGGAATTGAACCTCTGTATAGTGGACACTAGTCAAGAGTTCAAAGAGAATGTCGCGATGACTATCAGTAGTCATTCAACATAATGACTCTTCTTTAACTGCGGAACAAAAGATTGTACTAATTAAGGGTTAATTAAAGTGGTCATAGTTAATCAGGTTGATCTTTTTTTGTGTTTGAGCAATAGACTCATCTGCACGATCATCTCTGATCTTGAATCATAATTAAGTGACATTTATCTATATTCGAAAGTGGCGAAACAAAACTCTATCAAAGATTTGTGTGATAATTGTAGAATTTTTCTATTTTTTCAAAACTAAAATACATGAAAAGAAAAATAATAATGTGCTCTATCGCGATTATTTTATTCTCTAATGTTCTAGATGTCTAGAAACATGTCGACTTGTTTGAAAAAGATGTTAGTTTTGAGAAGCACATAACCAGTGTTTTATCCAGAGGGATGCTCGGGGGGCCGCGCCCCCCCCCCCCCAAACTTGTGATCATCGTGCTATGAACACGTGGCTTGCCCCCCCGAAAATAATTTTTCGCCCCCCCGAAATTCCAAATCGCCCCTCCGGAAAAAAAATCCTGGATAAAACACTGCACATAACCTCCCTATAGTGGACACTTTTGAAAAGTCCGAAGAGTGTTCACTATAGAGAGGTTTTACTGTACTTTATTGTCTGTATAGAAAACTTAAACTCGGAAGATTCTTAGTATATTTAGTTTTATAAAAAATGTAAGAAAAAAGTTTTTTTTGAAATTTTCTGAATAGAGAAATAAACTATCATCGTCAATAGTTTTGAATTATTCTAAATAAATTAATATACCTGGATTAGTAACATTAGCTTTGAATGGACTATTCATAATATCTTTATCATTCCATTTTATACTAATATTAATAAAACCAACTTCAACAGGTATATAAGTTACTTTTAATAAATTATTTGTAATTCGATCAATTGTAGTTTTAATAACAGAATTAGAACCTTATTGAAAAGAATAAATTAAAATATATTTTTTTTTGTTTCATTTTTTTTTTACCTTCAATATGAACTTGTAAATCACCTTGCATATCTTTTGTATCAATCATAAATGTTGTTTCTTTTTCATGTAAAGCATAATGAATACCATCACCATATGCCGTTACTATACGAGTATTATTTACCATCATTTGTATTGGAGTACCTTTTATTTTATTTGTTTTTTTTTTTTTTGAAGAATAAAATTAATTTAATAAAAGAAATTTTCTTATACCTGATACAATATCTGAACCAAATTTAGCATTTAAATAATGTATACCGATTTCAGTAGGTGTAAAACGTACTATTTTTTTTATTGTTAATATATCATCAATTTTAATAGGAACTAATCAAATTAAAACTTTAGACTGTTAAAAAATTTTATTTTTATTCTTACCATTGATACCCGATGGTGAAATAATACTAACTACTAGTGGTACATTTCCAGCATTATCTATATTTATTTCTAATGTATTTTCTATTCCAATAAGAATATCTTTTGGTAATGGACCAATATGTACTTGTGATGGATCATAGACTTCAGTAAAAAATGGACTACCTTCTATAGGCATATTTCCAAATGTAATATCAATACGATGTTGACCTAATGAAAAAAATTGAGTTATGATTATTTTAAATTTATTTTTATTTACCAATTTTTTTTGGTGTAAATTCACCCATATAATCTCCATTTGCTTGTGGAAATAATTTTACATTAACTGATTCACCTTTTGGACCTATTTATTAGAAATTAATTTATATCAATAGAATATAAAAATATTTGTTTCATACCAATAATTAATGATCCACAAATAGTATGTAATATACGTCGATTTGGATCAATCAAATATATTGTTTGTTTATCAATTAAATTTCGTAAAATATTTATAACTTGTTCATTTGTTGGTAATTGTGTTTCAATTTCAAATAATTGAAATGATATTATTGCATAACCTTATTTAAAAAAACAAATAAGACATATCCTAGAGCAAGTACTGAGAAAGTCTTTGCAGGGTACTTCGAAAATTCTCAGTAATTATACCGATGTAGGTACTACATGGGGTACCCATAAAGTACGCACAAGTACTTGTATGGGTACCCGCATCTGTAATTTTACTGAGAAAAACTCTACATTTGTTGTGGTCTGTGTAGAGACTCATGCCAATCTTGATCGTAGATGAAGAGTGGACTATTCTGAAGTGGTCTAATGGAAACCCGACCAACTCGAGTCCGGTCAGATTCCGGCATTTGACCTGCTGAGTTTTCGGATTTAAAACAATTAAATATAATTAGCAGAGTACCTGCCAAAGTCAGTGATTTATCTACTGGATGGGCGCCGCCCATCCGAAATTTCGACTCGCCCACTTGGGAAATGAAACTTAGATAAAACACTGGCCAAAGTACCTAAAATTTCCTGTGACATACTGGTAACAGGGTACTTTTTCGGGTATCCTTAACTCAGTACATTCTCTAGAGTAGTACATTGATTAGTTCAATTATAAAAATACAAGGAATAATTAATAATAGATTTCTCGTGACTATAGAAATAAATTGAAAAAAAATCTTGAAATAAAACAAAATTTAACAAACCATTTTTATTTTCGAATATTAAATCTCGTATACGTTCTTTTGTAAGTCTTAATTGTGCAGTAAGAAGTATTGTTAATGAAGTTGTAAAAATTTCTAATGGAAATTTAAGTAATTGTTCATAAGTTTCAAGTAATTGAAATGAAATTTTTTGTCCAATATCAAAATTATTACCAACAGATAGATCTAAATACATATATATATATATATTTTTGTTTTCTTTCATTATAAGAAACAATATTTTATACTAAATATTTTTGCTTCAATTGATTCTCGTTGTTCATTGCAATGAATACGAAATATACCAAGATTATTTACACGTAAACGATGAAAACATTTACCAGTAATTTGAACGACTTGTTGTCCATGTACATGTACAGAAAATGGAGATCCTTAGAAAAAAAAACAAGAATATTTATCTAAAATAAAATAATTTTCATACCTTTAATAGTTTGATCTCCATTATATATATTAATAAAATAAAGACCAGGTTCTTGTGGAATAAAATTTATACGAATAAGATTATCATTAATAATTGTTATTGTTGATGGAATTTGAATTGTATCGAGAAGAACAACTGCTCGAATTTGTGAATTCGATATTGATTTTGTATGAACTTTAATTTTTCCAAAAAAAAAAACAAAAAATTAAATAATCAAATATTATAAAATTAAAAATACAAAAAAAATTTTCTTACTTTCTATTCCACATGGTCTATTCGTTATACCAGAAAGAAGATTCTTTCCATTAATATCTTTTACTTGAATAAGATATGGTGAATCTAGAAAAACAAAAAAAAACATAGTAACACTTCATTAATAAGGTCACGGATGCAAATTCTCCGAAACTTATTGCAAAGCTGTCCACTTTTTGTGGATTTTAAGCCCTTTTTTTTGTGCGTTTAAACATGTTTTTGAAAATGTTTGTCTGTTTGAATTAGAATATAAAGCGAAGCAGCATCTGACAATTGAATATGTTCTCTCATTAGATTGTTTTCAATTCTTTTGTTTATAATCACATTAAAAATCAAAATGTATATTTTAATCCTGAATATGTCAATTGAAAAAAGAAAAACTAAATTTACTTACTAATAATAGATAATCCATTATGAAATAGATATATTTTATGAGTACCAATTAAATAAGGTCGAAATTTAAGACGCCAAATATGTGTATCTTTTGTTTGTTCAATTTGACAAGGAATAAATATTCCATTACATGATACTTTCGCATGTATAGATGATTTTTTAGTAATAACTATATATATATATTAACAAAAAAGAAAAGAATTAATTTAAAAAAAAAAAAAAAATATTAATTACTTTCTAAACAAACATCATCACCAATACGAGGAATATTATATGGTAAAATTTTTTCTATATGAACAAGTGATAAAGATGATAATAATGGTAATGATGGTAAAAGTGAATAAACATTTGTATCAATAGTTTTTTCTTGTACAAGTTGATTATTAAATAAAAGTCGAAGTTGATAACGTCCAGGTTCATTTGGAATATATTGAATAAGATATTCTTGATTATTTATTTCATGTATATGACATTGACAAGAATTCATTGATGTTTGTAATGGTGAAATTAATTCAGCTTTTAATTGACCTTGTCCAGCTTGACTTGTATTAACTAAATAAAAAATATCTTCTATATATATTATCTTTAATTGAATTATATTACAAAAAATTACCTTTATAAGCAACTGTTGTTCTTACAACAACAGGTTCATTATGTTCAGCAATTATAGAAATACCTTGAATATCATATACAGTAATTTCAATAGGTGTACCTATAATAAACAATTAAAAATCAATAATATTTTTTTTTTTGGTTGTTTCTATCTTATGAACTAATACATTATATTCTTATTTTTATTAGGAAAATAATTTTGATTCTAATCGATTTTATTACATATAATTCTTTCTGAATTCGACATAAAAAAAAAATTTTAATAATTTGCCTTATTCATTTTTCTCATCGTTCTTTCATTATTCATCATGTTTATTATGTAATTGTGATAAACTGTTAATTATGTCTATCACGTTTGATTATTAGAATTATCTGCCGATACTTTCTCTCTTGTTTACATATAACAAAAATCCATACATTTAGGTTTTTTCTTCTACAATTCATATAAATTAAGTTCGACCAGTAGCGTAGCCAGGAATTTTTGAGTCATGGGCAACCGTTATGATTTCAAAAATATATATGAGCAATAACTGTTCAAGCACTGTATAGCTCAATAAATCCATAGGCAATTGCCCTACCTCTGGCTACGCCATTGAGTTCGACTATAAAATATAATTTAATATTGAATCTATTTTGTTAAATTTGACTTATTCGCAAAAAAAAAACGAAATATAAACTCTGTTAAGATATCTTTTTATTTTTCACACCCATTCGAATTAAACTGTGCTTATTTTTTTTTTTGATCATTGATCATTTCATTTGTTTCGACAACAAGTCTTTTTGGATTTTTGTTTTTGTCGGATGAAATGATCAAAGCAACATTATATATATATCAATTTGTTTCTCTTCAACAAAAATAACAATATAGACAAATTCTCATACTATGTCAATATATGATTAGTCAATGCCAATATAATCTATCGTTTCTAAGCTGATTATCAATATCTTCAAAACAATGACAACGCATACTCATTAATTGATAAAGATGACAAATCAGACATATATATAGATAATGACGAAAAATAAAAGGTGAGAAAAATCATTGGTTGTCAAGACATTTCTAACGAATCTTATTTTATATATATATATATATATAATCGTCATTTTCAAATATATCACAATAGAATATGTCAAACGAAAAACAACAACCACAACATAGTCCATATGATTATTCAGTAAAACGTTTATTATCACAGGATACAAATTCTACAACAACAGGTAAGATAAATATTAAAAAAACAAAAAAAACCATATATTTCTAGATCGATCAAATGTTCTTCTATGTCCACCACCTAAAAATCGTGCTCGTCGTGCACGAACTTATTTTGATGATCGTTCAATTCAAATACTTGAACATGCTTTTTTACAAGAACAATATCCTGATATTCACCGTCGTGAACAATTATCAAATGAAATTGGTACAAGTGAAGCACGTGTACAAGTAAAACAAAAATGAAATCTATGTTTTTTCTTTTTTTACTTATAATTAATTTAAGGTTTGGTTTCAAAATAAACGATCACGTTGTCGAAAACGTTTATTAAATAAAACAATTACTAATGAAAATGATGAAACAAATTTAAAATTAAATCATAATAATTCATATGAAGATTTACAAACACGTACACCAATGAAAACTATTCCATCGGCAAATATTTTACCATTTACACCAACACCTGTTCAATCACTTTTGGCTACACATTTTCCTTTTTTTCTTCAGCATTTCTATTAATATGTTGTCTTTTTCTTTTTTGTCTTATGTATGTTATATATATATATATATATGTTTACATAATAAATAATTACTTACCGTTAATTGGAATATTTCTATAAGCAATATAAATTTTATATGTACCAATTTTATTTGGTAAAAATGATATTCGTATACGATTTTTTGAAAGTGTTTGTATTTGACAAGGAATTTTTATAGGTTTTAATTGATCATATATCATTACAAAAAATTTTCCTTGACCACTATTATCAATATTACCTAATATGAATATATATGTATGTTAAAAATAAAATTAAGTGTGAAATATATAACATACAGATAAAATGACAATCATTTATTGGTTGTAAATGATTAAATGATTCGATATGAATTCCATTTGGATTATAAACAGGAAAATTATATGGACAACCTAATAGCAAAAAAAAAAGAAATTATGATTTTGTAATAGTTATTGGTTTAAGGCCTCCCCACCTCAAAAATTGATCTCGGCATAGGAACATTCAAATGATCTGAAATTTGGAGGATATGTTGGGGCTACAATGAGGAAGCTATGATAAACTTTTCAGCCCTAAGTATTGAGTTTTAAGGGAGATGTTGACCAAACAAGGCTCAAAATTAGGTCATTTGGCAACCGATTTTTCTCTGTCCAGGCTCAGTCAATGTATTAATTTCTGTTTTTTTGTTTGAAAGAGCGTGTCAAGATGCACGGCAGTACGAGATCCTTTTTTCGCTTTTTAAGTGCAAAAAAGGAATCACAAGTTAAATGACTGAAAAAAGAGTTACCTGTATATACAATAAAAAAAAGTACTTAATTCAACAATCGGACCTTGGTTTGCCCTGCATCTTGACACGCTCTTTCAAACAAAAAAAAAGAAAATTTAAATACATTGCATGGATCTGTACTGAAAGATTTGGGTTGCGTGTTCGAAATATTGTGAACGGAGAAAAAAATGAAAAAGATTTTCGATTTTTTTTCGCATAGAGGATGACGAAAATCTTGAAAAATTTTTGTCGTTTCTGAAAGAGCAGATCGTAGACTATGTTCCTATGCATTTATCTCAATTTCGATGCTTTTGACCAAAAGTGACTTTGTTTTTGAGCGGATGGGGGGGGGGGGCGGCCTTAAACTAACATTCCAACATATATTTATTTATAGATAAGATATATGAAAGATATTTAGTTTTACCTAGAATAAGTTGTCCAATATAATCTTTTAATATAATTGAATAATCACCAGCAAGTATTGGTCGAAATTTAAGTAAAAATGTATTATCATGTCTACGAGTTGCTAGTAAAGGTATTTGTATTCCATTAATTGTTATATGTACATAAGCGATATGAGGTTGATTCACTATTTATTTAAAATATATATTCAATAAGAATTTTCCATAGAAAAACAAATCTTACGTAAGAAATGTATATCATCATTAATAATTGGATAAGAATTTTTTAATATTACTTTGAATGGATATGGTCGAGGATCTAGAAAAATAAAATATCTATTTTATATTCTTAATATTAAATTTTTATTTCATGCATACCAAATATAACATCAATCGGTTGTCCACATTCGAATTTTTCTTTTATTAATTGTAATCGTTGAATTTCGGTTTCATTCAACGGTATAGATTGTGATTTTAATACTAAATCTTTTTGTCGAACAACAATTTCATTTGATTTTACTAATTGAGAATTTATTATTTGTGAAGATAATTTATCTGGCTTTTCTTCTTCTTGTTGTGGTTGTTGGTGTTGTGCAAGTAATAATAATTCATGTTTTGAATAAATTGAACGTCCACGTTCTTCTATTTTAGACGATCGAACACTTTTAATTGTAGATTCTATTAGAATAAAAAAAAAAAGCTTGTTAGCGCAGCTCCTTTAGGACTAAAATGTGGAACTCACATATCTTCTTTACTTTCACTGTGCTAATGGCAAAATATATAATGTTTAAATTCTCTCAAAGACAATAATTCTTTTCTAATAATAATTGATTGTCAGCAAATGTTGTCTTTTTTATTTATATACTTCGAGTAGAATTTTTGTTTTTGTGAAGTTGCTATGGTCTATAATGGGGGCCTTTCTGTAAGGGGAGGGCGGAGCCGCGAAACTTCGAACTTAAAACTTACACTCACTATTTTCTTCGAAAATATATGTGAGTTCCACAAAAAATATATGTCATGTTATCAGTTGAAATATTATATTTACGTTGTTCAATATTTTCAACTAATATTTGCATTGGTGTTCTACTTATAGGAATTCGATTGAATAGTATTGAAACAGTATGTAAACCTAAGAGAATATATTTTCAGTGAAGATTACAAAAATTTTCTAAAATTACCTAAAACAATTGGTTTAAATTGAACAACAATTTGTTCATTTGATTGTTTTTGAATAGTAATAGGTAAAGATTGATTATTTGAATCTAATAATAAGAATAAATAATATATTTAAAATAAATGAAAATTAAAAACCTTTGATAATAATTTGTATTATTCCTTTTCCAGCTTTTATTGGATCAATATAAAAACAAGTTGTTTTATTTATTTGTATATTCTTAGGAAAATTAATTAAATGTACAGCTGATGGATCAAATGCATTAACTATCAATGGATTTTCATTAAATGTTTCTTTTTTATTTAATATATAAATTTTCATAGGTCCTAAAAATCAAATATATAAATTAATATCTTTTATTCATATAATAAAGACAAAAATAAAACATACCAACAATAGTTGGTTCATATGAAATACATTTTCGTCCATCAGAAAGACATTCTATTTTATAATCAATTGTATTTCCATTAGTATCTATACAATAATTAAAATTTAGTCATAAATCAAATAATATTTTTTGTATATAATTATTTCAATCGATCGAATTGAAAATTCTTATACTTATTAAAAAAAAAAAAAGAAATTATATTAATTATTCTAATCTATAACAAACAAAAGAACTTTCGATTCGATCGATTATGTAAAAATTTAATAATCAATTCTATTTTTTTTTACCATGTATAATAATATTAAATTTATCATCTGGATCTTTGAGATAAAATTTTGATATATGACAAATACATGGATCGTTTAGATCAGTTATATCATATGTTTGTACAACAGAATTTGATTGATCATTAATAATAGATGATTGAAGAAATTCATTTGAAATAATAGGTGAAGTGATTGTTATATCTTCTTTTATTGGAGATGGTACACGTAAAGGTGAAAGTGATGATTGTCGAGATGGACGAAATTCAGATGTCTCACTAACTGTTGTAAATTCTCGACATGGTGAATATGAATCATTTGTACTATGTGTATCATGATCATTTGATATTATTTTTTCATGTAATGATTGTTTATCAATCGGTGATAATGGAATATAATCATCATCATAAGCAAATATTGGTAATAGAGCAAAAGAATCATTTTCATCATTTGATATACATATCCAATGAGTACCTTTGATGAAGAAAAAAGAAAAGAAACGAAAGTCTTTTATCTAGAAATTTAATATTGTTTTTTATTAAAATATGTACCAACACGAACAGGTGATAAAGATATTGTTAATTCACCATGTTCATTTTTTGAACGTTGAAATGATATTGGTCTTTCAAATGGATCTATTAAGAATAAATTATTATTTTTAAATAGGACAAAAATAAAAAGAAGAAACATGATTTACCAGTAACACTTATTTCTAATTGATTATTTTGATCAATTACACCTGAAAATGTATGTTCAAGAATTTCTTTAATTTGTACACGAAGTACAGGTTCATATGACTTTTCAGCACAAAATGCCATTATACGAATAGGACATATATCAAGAAGTTTATTTTGTGTACGAATAAATATTTCATGTATATCTAATTAGAATATTAAAAAAAAAGAAATTTTTATTTTAAAATAAATCATTGAAAAAAAGATTTTAATTTTTTAATAGATAGAATATATATATTTATTATTTACCTGTTCGAACAGGTATATATTCAATAACAAGATCTCTACTTAAATTACGATAAAATGCAGCTGGAATTGTATGAGCTAATCCATCTTATAAATGATAAAATTATATTAAAATAATTATTTGCTTTTCTTTTTTTTTAAAGTTTACCTTTAACAATAACATTAATATCATCTCCAATAATTTTTGTACGATCAATAATTAATCGTGTTATATCTTCAATACCACCATTACGAAAAACATCAATTTTTTCAGTTATACAATATATATCAAATAATTGTTTTTCATCATCATCATCGATAATATTCAATTGATAATAACCTACAAATAAGAATATTTCAAATAGAAAACATATAGAAAAATTTGTTTTTTTTTTATTACCAGTTTCAGTTAATGAATAATAAATTTTCCATTCTGATGAATGTTTTTCTATTTCAATTGGAATTTCATTATTATTTGAAGCTAATTCAATAAAAATTAAATTTTTCTCTTTTGAAAAATATAAAATCAACTTACATATTAATCGAACTTTAATATCATCATCATCATCATTATCAGAAATAATTGAAATAAAATTTAATGCATTCAAATAAACAATACGTTCACCATAAATATATCGTTCATAATCTAATGGTAATATATCTACTGATGAAAATGTAATTTGTGATTTATCACTACCAGTTTGTATTTGATAAATACCAGCTTGTGTTGGTTCAAATTCAATACGCCATCGTCCATCTAAATCTTGTATTCGTGTATGTTTTATAATAACTTTTTCTGGATCTATATACAAAAAAAAAAACAAAATTATATATAAATATTTTCATATAAAATAAACAAACCAGTTACGTATAAATTAAAATCTTCATACATATCAGTTAATGATGTTTCACAAATAATCCAAGCTATTTCACCAATTTTTGTACCTTCTAATTGTCCACCAATTAAAAATTCAAAATCATTATCATTATCTTCATCTAAACTATGATCATCACTTATAGATGGTTCATCAATATGAATAATAAATGGACTTCCTTCAATAGAAATTCCATTAAATGTAATAACAATTGTATGTAAACCACTTATTTCAGGTATAAAAGCAATATCAAATTTTCTTGTTTGATTATTTTTTAATTCAGCTGGTAATGTTCGTTGTCCATCACTTATTGTTACTTCTAAATGACCTTCACCAGCATCATATGTATCAACAGAAAATATTAATGGTTTACCAACAATACCATTATGAATAGAACTAACATAAATTTTATTTATATTACAAACATCAATATGATTTGTTGATAGAATTTTTTCATTATATGATATTTTTACAATATGTTGTCGAGCTATATTTGGTATAAATGATATTTCATAATGTTTATTATCATTTGATATTGATTTCATTGTATGTGATACAATTTGACCAGTATAAGATTCAGTGACAAGTATTGAAACAAGATTTGCATCAAAAACATCGACTAATTTTTGTTTTTTTTAAATAGAAATATATTTATAAATGAAAATAAAGAAAACAATAGAAATTTCAACTCATCAAATCTTCGGAAATAATATTTCTTATAGTTTAATTTCTTAGAATTACATAACAATTTCGAAAATGTCATGAAGTCTATTGTATTTTTGTTGATTCGATTAACCCTTTCAGGCCCACCGTGCCAAATACGGTACGGTTTTTTCAAGTTTTGTAATTTTTAAATAACTCGCGAATTCCATTAGATATTCAGATGTAGCTTTCTTTATTACATAGAGGAGGTTTCGGTGTACACGTCAGTATTAAAACTATAACTATACTAAATTCATTCATGTGATAAAAATGATTAATAGTTAACCCTTTAAGTACCAGCGGGACCTATAAGGCACACTTTTTTCAAACTTGATAAATTTCGAATAACTCGAGAACGCAAAACAATATCGAAGTGCGGTTTTCGTTATGACATAGAAGAGACTTCGGTGCATACATCTATATAAGAGTTATAACCCTATTGACGTCACTCAAGTAGTAAGCCTGATTGATTTTTGGAACACCACCGCTATTCTAAAAAGGAGAAGGGCAAAATGCCCTTTTGTAGTCCCCAAAAAAATTTCGGTTTTCCGTGTGGAAATCAAGGTAGGAGTGACTCCTAGTGGTATTCCAAGGTTGATTTTGTAACAGCTCTCGATCAAATTTTGACCTAAGCCCGTACTCCCCCCCCCTCCCCAGGGGGACGACCAAAATACTTATTCGCCATCCCCGTAGGGGGGTACGGGCATGGGTCGAAAATGACTTTAAAGATTTTTTAAAAAGTTTTGATGAAAATATCCACAACACACACTGCCTATATTAAATATAAAGTCTCAACGAAATTTCATCCATTGGCTGAGCCATGGGCCTGAAAGGGTTAAAAGAGTTCATTAAACTTACTATTGAAAATAATTGGTCGACCAACAACACCTGAAGGAATTGGTGAAACACGAATTTGTTCACAATCATTTCTTACTGGTATTATTAATGTTCGTACTAAATAAAAAAGAATTGTAGTATTGTATAGATATATTAAACATATATATTTTAAAATACATACAATTATTTTCTTCATTAAATGATATTTGTACAGTACATTCATCTGCTGTTTCAGGTGTAAATAAAATTTGATAAATATGAGGAGAAATTTCTATTTGTTCATGTAATATTTTATTTCCATTTTGTTTAATTCTAACAGATAAAATACCATGACCAACGTCAGATGTATTAACTAGAGAAAAGATAAACTTTTTTGCAAAAAACAAAAAAAGTTATTTTTTTACTTGTAAATTTATATGGTTGATGAGTAATAGCAAGTGGTAAATCACTTAAACGTATTTTACTTATATCATAAACTTGACAAATATATTTCGTTATAATATTTTTTTTTTCTTCATTATCATAAAATCTTATTTCATGTTTACCAATTTCATATGGTATGAAATCAATAGTATAAGAATTTATTGAAATTTTTTCAATTTTTCCTTTTATTTCATTATTAGATGGAGTTATAATATTAACATAAATATTTGAATTAAAATTATATAATTTTGATTTAATTAAAAATGATGTTCGTTTATTAATTGCTGCATATTCATAATTTTCAAATATAAATTCATTTGAAAATACATTACATTGAAAAGGTGATCCTATTTAATAAATTTGTCTTGCTTATTAATAATAAAATGAAAATCTTTTGTAAGAATTATTTTTACCTTGTATATGAATTCCATTAAATTTAATATGAACTTCATGTATACATAATTGATCAGGAATAAATTTAATACGAAAACAAGTACTACCTTCATTTTGTACATAATTTGGAATATTTTTTCCATCTCTTGATACAGCTATTTCAAGACTACCAGCACCAGCATTTGTTGCATCAACTAAATATAAGAAAAAAGAAAAAAAAAAGATTGCAATTAAATATTATTTACTAGTAAAATATGTTGATGAACCAACAATAGTTGATGATGGAAAATTAAGAATTTTTATTTGATTAACATCAAATGATCGAGCTATGAATGGACTCTTATCAATTGGTATATTATCATAAAAAATTTCTATACGAATTTCACCTGCAAAAAAGTAAATTTATTTCAAACAATAAAAATAAGCCTATAACTAACCAACACGATCAGGTGTATAAGTAACTTCATATCGATTTAAATCAATTTTTGTTAAAAGACATTCAATGAAATGATTATTCGGTCCTATTAAAATATTTTATATATTTTGAATTTCTTTTTTAAATAATAAAAAAAGAAATTCTATAGATCACACCTTTTATCAAACATTTCAATATTCCATTAGTACCATCAGGTGTTAAAATTGTAAATGATGTTGGAATATGAATTGGAATTGAACCAAGACCTTTACCAATTGCAATTATACGTTGTATTTCCATAACATTTACAGGAAATGGACTTCCTAAATAAGTTATTTAGTATATCTATATTAAAAATAATCATGATTATAAATTCCTTTTTTTTTTCTTGTAAGAATCTAAGAAAAGTACATAAAAATGTTTGAAGTAAAAATTGATATTTTATTAATAACAATCATATATAAAATTAAATTGTTTCGCTCAACTATATTCATTCATTTTTTTTTCACTTAGTAAAAGTTGATGCGCTTGAAAGAACGGTACATAGGTCCACTTTTACTTTTTTTTTTTTTCTTTTGATTTGACCTCGCCTACTTTATATAGTCGTATGTCTATGCAATGAAGTTAATAACTGTACATATGTATACATATATGACACAAAAAAGAAAAAGGTTGAGTAGTAATCTTCTTTAGTTAATTATATATTTTGAAAAGTCATTGATTAAAATGATCATAGGCTATAGAAAAAAGATTTATGTATACTATTAGTGATATCTAAATATAAAATAAAAGCGTGAAAAAGAAACCTTGTTAATGTCAAATATATACACTTAATCGATCATCTTTTTTTTTTTTTTTATCTATATACATACACAGCAAAAAAAAAATTGAAGGTATCTGTCTGTTCAATTTATAATTATAATTAAATGACGTATATAATATTATTTACCTGATACATGTTCATTATTGAATAGAATATTGCAATAATGTATGAAAGGTTTTTCTGGAATAAATTGAACTTCGAAATAACCATTTCCAAATGGATTAATTTGATTAGGAATATGATAATCAGAATAATTAACACTTATTTCAAGATTACCTTCACCTGCTTTTGATGCATCAACTATTTTAAAAAGAAAAAAAAAATATATATAAAGTTAATTATTTTAATTCTAATCTATTTACTTAGAAATTTTGTTGGTTCTCCAATAATACTATCATTTATAGGTGGTATAACAATAACTTTTTTTGGATCATAACATTTTACACGTAATGGACTACCAGGTATTGAATAACCATATAATATCATATGAATAATATAAGTTCCTATTTCTAATGGTGTCCAATCTATTCGAAGTCCATCGGAAGTTAGAAGTGTTGATGGTTGTATTTGTTCATTAGTTGGTGTAAATATAGTTATATGTAAATCAGATAAATCAACATGTAATATATCAATTGTAAACCAAGTTTGTGTATCAATTAATATTGATTGAAGATTAGGACCATGAATTTTTATATTATCTGATGTAATAACTTGACAATGTTTTGGAAATCCTATAATAAAAGAAAAAAAATTCAATTTTTATCAATTTATCTTCTTTTTTTTTTTTTATTGTTAAAGATTTTTATCTACCAGATACTTGATGTCCATTAAATTTAATAGAAATAATATAAGGTTCATTTAATAATGGAATAAATTGAAATTGAAATTTTGAATTTTCTAATGTTTTAACTTGTTTTGGTACTTGATCATTATTAATATCAACTTCAAGTTGACCTTTACCAGCATTTGATATATCAATAGTAAATTCAATTGGTTGATTAATTATTAAAAAACGTGGAATATCTGAGATAATTAAACGATTTGTTTCATAAGTTTGAAGTAAACATGATGAACCATATATTTCCATTTTTTTTTGACTCGATTAAACATTCACAAGATATAAACCTAATGGGGAAAAAATAAAACATATACAGATAAATGAAAGTCAGACTGATATTTTTCTTTCACGGTCTTATTATCTGATCTATAGAATATACATATAGATGTGTTTATATGCATATAAAATGATGATAGAAAAGAAAGATGTGCCAATATGGTATATAAAAGATGAGCATATATGTAGATACGTGTGTGTGAGTCCTTGATTTTATATACTATACTACTGAGGCGTATGCTACATCAATCATTAAATGTAAAAAATTAATTTTTTTTTTTCGTTTTTCTTAAGGTTCAATTTGAATAAATTGAACCTTGTCAAACTTTATACGTTAATTATGTTCGAAAAAAAAAGAAAAGTGAATGTTAAACAATAACTTGCTTTGATCACTTTATCTTTCAATACAAATATCAATTGACATGTTGACTTAGTAATCTTTGATGTTAATGTACTATCTGATCATTCCTTGATTTCATTAAAACTATAATCAATATATAGATTTCTCTCAATTGAATATAATCGTTTAAAACAAACAAACAAAATGATTCAATGAACACTTTTTTTATATTGAGAAAAAAAAAAACAATAACAAACCTCAATTGATAAGATGATTATTAAAACAAATATTGTTACTAAGTGTGTATATAAAAAAAAAAATGACTGATCAAGATTGATTATTAATATCAAAGTGCAAAAGCTTATAAGATACATCAATCGTTATGTCATGACGTGCGTGGGAACGTGTTATAGAGTAAACTATATTCACATTTACATGCATGAAATATTGCTCATATTCACGCTTCATATTCTTGACACATACGAGAATATAAGAATACTTTGTAAAGAGAATTCACATATATGTGAGCAAGACAATATTACAATGAACTAATAAAAACTGACAAATGTAATGATCATCTGACAACGTGTAGTCATATAGAATAGTAAAAGGTGCAAAGATAAGAGTCATACATAATGTCATTTTACATATCTAGATCAGAGAATAATTTATGTTTATATATAATAAATCTAAATATTTGCTAGTTCTGTTATTATCGAAAGTTATCTGTTATGAAAAGCATAGGTGAGGTTGGTATGTTCGCTATACTGTCCAATTCAACGACATCCACATATCCTTATTGATCATCTCGAAAATCTAAAAGAGAATATTGAAACCATTTGCAATGATTTCGTTCGACAACTGATCAGATCTTATTCTTTTTTTTTTGATCAAACTGGAATAATTCAATAAATAAAAGAGTAAAATAATAAATTAGTAGAAGAATTAGTAAAATATATTTTATATTCAAATAGAAATATTTTTTTTTTATTTTAGTCAAAATAACAAAAAAAGAAAAATAAAGAAAACTTGTTTATTTTAATACGTAATCAATATTTGATAAAATATTTAATTAGAATCTTTATTTTATCTTCTATATTTATTTGAAAAATAACAATTGAATTTAATTTAATTTATATTAATAAAATAGCTTTTTTTATTTATGAAGATTATAAATCTATTTTCTAGAAATTAATCATATTTGATAATTGACTTTTTTTTTATTCGAAACTATAATTTGTTTTTTTTTGTTCTTTTTTTATGAAATAAAATCAATTGATTAAAATACATTTTGAACTTAATATAGATAATTAAACGTATTGTTTTCAATAAAAGAATATGAATGAATATTAAATTAAATATATTTCGTTAGAAAATTTATTGTTCATATATGAATTATATTTGTTATTATTGTTTAATATTAATTAGAAACAAAAGAAATTATTTATTTATTGAATAGTTTAGTAATTTTTCTAAAAAAAAAGAATCGTGTCTTATCTTATACAGTCAGATGTAGTGATATTAATCAGTTCAATTTCTCAAAATCATTGTGTCCATCTTACATATATTAAATACAACAATGGATTATAACTATTAAGATATTTCTTATCAAAGAATAAAGATCACTTAAATATTAACGGTATTGACATCTTTCAGTTAACATCTGAGTTTATCAGTGCACTTCATTGTCAGAACCAGTGATGGGCACGGTTCGGTTCACAAATTTTTAAACCGATCTCGGTTTCGAGAAAACACGAACTAAGCCCATCAAAAAACAGTTTTTCAATGCATTTCTCAGCTTATGTTAAATCTCAGTTCGGTTCATTTTTCAAAAACCCCGAACCGTGCTCATCTCTGGTCAGAACCATGTCTATAGACGCATTGAGAAACCTGTATGCGCAAATAAAATTGAGTGATGTTTTTTTTACCTGATAGACAACTTTTATTTTTAATAAATTACTTAGAACTAATAGAAAAATACAAAATTAATTTTATCTAATTGAAGAGTGATTAGCATAAAGGGTGTGGGTGAGCAAAAACTACACAATAACCACAGCCGTCCCCGCATCCCCCTGTGACCACCAAAATGACATACGTTTTATATCATTTTAATATATTCTATTTACAATTTAGTGTTTGAAATAAATATTGAGGATATTGTGCATCATTTATAAAACGAAGATCATTTTTAATTAAAAATAAATCATTTTTGCTGTATAAGAATTAAGACATAAAACACATTCATAGATATTTAATGTTTTATATTGAAGAACATATTCAAATACAATCAATTGATTCAGTATGATAATTAGAAATAATTGAAGAAAATTTTGTATTTGATGATAAAAAATTTGAATATGATAAAGATAAGTCACTAAAACAATGAGTATTATTTATTATTAATGAAAGATTATTTAATAATAATTGATGATCTAAAAATAAAATAGAAGTTAAAATCATAAATAAAATCTTTCTCACTCATGAAAAATGAATTATTTTCTAATAATTGTTTTGAATCACTTATACAATTTGGTACATTACCATTATGTTTATTTAATACACGTAAAACAATATCTTGAACAAGATTTGATATCACAACAGAACCATCTGATGTACTAGAAAGAATAATTGTTGCTACAAAAAAAAATTCTTATATAGGAACTATTTGTAGGTGCATTGATAGCAGTAATAGATGATGTATGTAGATGTAATTCAAGTATCATTTGACCATGAAGAAGATTAAAAATATTAGATGTATCATCATTATATCCAGCAACAATTGATTGAATAGTTATTCAAATGTTCTTTTTTTACTGGACTTGTTATATCAGTTGAATCGTTTTTAGAAACAATAGAATTATCACATAATATTAAATAAGTTACTTTCTAAATAATTCAAATAAATAAACAATATCTTATATCATAAATTTCTTTTACTAATCCATTTGCATTAAAACAAAGAATTTCATTTCTATATTCTAATTGAAAATTCTTATTGTAACATTTAAATATTTGTTACTAAATGCGTATCTTCAATAGTTGTAACACCAGCAATATGATATGTATGTGATGCAACAACACGAGTTCTTGATCGTTCTGTTGTTCAATAAATACATCATAATGATCCACATAATATACCAACAATATCCATATCAAATATATTATTAAATGATTCGCTAATAATTCCATCATCAAGTTGAAATTCATCTTGAATTGTTAAATCATAATTTCTAAAGAAAAAAACGTATGAAAAACATTTAAATGAAAAAAACACATACGAAGGGTATGGGTGTGGGCGAAAACAAGACTACAACTCACACCCACACCCAAAATATTCATACAGAAAGGCTGTGAAACCGTAAATTGTTCACTAGCCAGCTGTAGGTTTACGTTTTAGTAGGCCTAGATTAAGTGAGGGAAGATTCATAGCGTCTTATATCACACACATTGTTAGCAGAACACACTTTAGAAACAATACACTCTATGTGACAAGTTAGCTGTGGAAAAATTCTAAATTATTATTTACAACGAAATAGTTCTTGATTATAATTATCTAATTTCTCTGATGGTATACTAATATTTCACCAATATTCGTGTATATGTCATTATTAGAATGAGTTTAAATCCTTCATTTCAATGCATGTCACAAGTTTGCTCGCAATATCTTGATGCTCCTAAGATGCGACGGTTTATTGACGTCTATTGTTCGTTATGCATGAAACAGAATTTTAAATAGACAGAGACAATGTTGCTCATTGTTGAAATCGACATAGCTCATCTTTTAGTTTGAAGGAAATGACTAAGACTTCTGAAAAATTCATTTCGATGCTTGAGATATCTGGCTTTGATTTATTTCGTGGCGTAAGATCGATTGAATCTATGTAATTTCCAATTATTCATTTCCTAGTAATACCTTTGATCGTCTTCAAAATGATACAAATCGAATATGGAAATTTCAACGATATTCATTAATATGTGAATATTTATCTCGACCATCAATACCATCCCCATTTATTATTGTTGCTCATCTTTGGCGATTGATATTTACTACTTTATCATTATGTTCCGAATCATCATGGATTAGAGAAAAACATGATCAATATATAAAAGGAACAAAATATGGTAAGAAAAACTTCTTTTATTTGCGTTTTGATTTAAATCTTTCTTTTTCTTCGTTACAGCAATAATGTTAGAAGAAAAATTTGCTAGTAATATTGAAACAATTGAAGATGCATTTAGTCACGAAGTTTATTATAATTGTATGAAGAGTGCTGAAAAATTCACTAATGAGCATGATCTTGATGAAGAACGAGTGTAAGTTGATAGTTCAAAACGTAATTATTTTTTTCTAATATATATATTTTTATATGTTTAGACAAACACCACAAGATTCAATAGCCAAGAAAATGCAAATACTTGAGACTCGAGTAAAAATGATTAGTAATCAACTAATACTTTTCATTATTCGTTGGCTTACATGAAAATATATATGTGTTAAGCAAGATAATGTATTAGAATATCTTCGCTGTTTAATGAATGGTATGAAAATGATGGCAGGTGAATGTATTAAAGTGTCTGAACTCCGTCGTCTCGATGCAGAGGAATTAAGTATATTTATAATTTATTTAATTAAAGAAAATGACTCTTTTTTTTGTAACTAAATAGTTGATGAAACAATCGGTCCTAGTGATCAGTCAAGACGAGATCTTCAACGAGATTCGATAATAGCGGATACACGTCGCACATCAATCACTCCTGGAATTTTACAAGTTTCATCGATGAATTTTTTTCAATCTCTTAAAACGTAATTAAATCAAAGAGATTATTTTATGTACGTTTATGTGTTCTTTTGTTTTTCTTCATAGTGAATAATGCAAAGATAAAGTATTTGATGAAATCATGATGTAGTTTTCTTTGCTTGCAGGATGCTTTATGGACATCTACAATAGTGATAAACGAAATATAAATTATTATTTTAATTCAGTGTCTTTTATATATACCAGTATTATGTTTTATGTCTTTCATTCTTCAATAATTTAGTCTTTTTTTTGAATAAAATAAATATTATTGCTATTGGTTCGAACATTTTATTTTGTTCCATGTCAGAAATTAGAAATTCTACCTTACTCTTGTTTCAAAGTTGAACATATCTTATTCGATTCGACTGCCTAGAGATCATTGTACGCAAGAGAAGACCCTGACTAAAACAGACCATGGACTCAATGGATATCAAGAATTTCAATGAAAATTTGCCAGTATGTAGCATCATGTGAGATGGATATATACTATTATAGATACTTTATATATCAGTTTTCTCGAAATCACTGTTTGGTATGTTAAACTTCTTCATCTGTTATGAATGATCAATGAGCTTCCACTTTCAAACACTGATTTAACTAGTTATTGCGTGTGTTTAATTAATTTGTATGTGGATCATTCGAAAAAATATTGTTCTGTTCTCGAGATTTTCAAGTTTTTCTGAAAGTATTATCGCCAACAGACATATTTTGTGTGGATGTGGGTGTGAGTATGGGTGTGGGGTGTGGGTCGGTGTGGGTGTGGCTGTGGGTGTGGGTGGGTGTGGGTGTGGGTGTGGGTGTGGGTGTGGGTGTAGGGTGTGGGTGTGGGTGTAGTTGTGGGGATGGATGTACCTGCTTTCTTCGTTCACACCCACCCACCTACATCCACATCCCAAATGCACACTCTTACACCCACACCCCCACCCACCTCCACCTCCCACATCCACACTCTCACACCCACCCACCCACACCCGCACCCCGTCCACACGCACACCAACCCACACTCACATCCACACCCCACACTCACAGCCACACCCACTCCCACACCCTATCCTCATCCACACTCACACCCCATCCACACCCACAGCCATACCCCCCCCCCCCCCCCCCCCCCCCCCCCCCCCCCCCCCCCCCCCCC